CCACAGGTTCCTATGGCAGAGATATTATACAATATCTCAAAATCTAGCCTGGTGACATTGTAATGTTAATGATGGAGTACTTTTTGTTGTTCTGAATTATCTAAAAAATCTGGGTTTTAAAAAGTGTAAAAAATGCAATTTTCTTTAACATTGTGTTCTATGGAATTGTTCTAAAAATAGCAATTTTCAAGAAATATTAGAACACGTTTCTAAAAAAGCATAACTGTAACACACAAAATAATGCTATTTCATTGTACCATGAGACATTAGCTTCATGATTGTACATAATAAACTAATGAACATTGTCATGCAATTTATGACCAATTTTGTCAAAAATTATGACTAGGCTTCTACCTTAATTTCTTATATTACTCGTTCAAGTATTGTGAGAATCTAGATCCATTTCTGTAATTAAATTTAACAGTCTATTTCACTGTGACACGAAAAACAATTTTCTGATTTTTAAATTAGCGATGGAACCCTTTGGACATTGAACGTTTATGACTCCGTCACATTTCATACAACGGCGCAGCTGCGTATTTGTTTTTAAATATTGTTTAATCGATGCAATGCATATAGCAAAATGATCTACATCTTGTATGTTTTACCAAATGAACACACATGGGATTAAATGCTAGGTATTACATGGTGTAAACCTGCAAACTTAGATCCGACACCTAGAAATCAAAATCTTGGTCGAACTGGTTCGGTTTCGGCGGCGCTCCCTTTCCTTATAGGATAAGTGACAATCATCAGTAACCTACCCACCCGAGCCCCGACCATCTCAAGTAGTAGGGTTATCATCTATGAATCCATGTGTCTATTTTCGTCATTTGTGACCATTTTCTTAAGAGATTAAGGACGTTTAATTCATTATTCGAGTTGTCGAAAATCGTAATAAAAAGTCCCACATTTCGAAATGAGCCGGAGAGATCGACCGAAGTAGAGACCGATAACGCAAACATGGCTCGTATTGTCGGTGAATACTATTTTCGCAATCGTAAGTACTACTATATTGTTCCTTATATATCATATATATGTTTTTACCCCGTGCATGATGTAAATGATTGTGAATGGATGGCGTATTTCAGTTGAGATAAACACACTGTAGAGGGAAAATATCTTAAGTTGCGGTCGGCAGCCATTGCAGTTACTACACGTTAGGTGGGAATAGCCAACGATTACATATCACTAGCAATTCCAACACATGCAGGGAAAACGCAAATGATTTTCCCGAGAGATGAATTCGATGGCTTTGAAGCCATCCGACCCCTGGAACGGATGGCTCAAAAGCCTTTATTTTTCTCTTTATTTGAAGATTTACGATATAATAATGATTTTTGTTTACGGACGCTAAATTGATAACATTGTTTTATTTGTTATCTTATAGTAATTAACGAACAATTAGACTATCCTATATGTCAATCATGTTCTGTCGAGTTATAAATAAAAATAAAAGTTATATCCACATTCTTATTTTCATACCCGGGCCTATTCCAGCTAAGTTGGACCGAACCTATGTAAAAATAAAAAGTATACTATGTTGCCGCTGAACTGCAAATACAAAAAAAAAATAGCCGACATTTCACTGAACCAACCTTTAGCAAACTAAATCACAGATAACCATGTAACAACATTGCGCTGTCGTCGTAAAATAAAACGGAAGTTAAATTGGAAAATGCTTAGAATATACACGAGGCTAATAAGTATAAGGTCTGGTGCGTGGAAAGGGATTACCGACAAACTTTTGCCTGTATCATGTTAAAAAAAGACATTGCCAATGAAGATAAAACAATAACAAATCACATATTTGTTTTAATTTCTTTGATAGCATAAATATATACATATATTGA